ATTGACAGTAAGTTTGCAAAAGTTGGCAACACTGATAAGAACTCAGGTTGATCATCCAGAATCAGAAATCATGCAGTAAATTTATGACCTTGGTCACTTTGTGGGGAGAAAGAAGAGGAGGTGGCCACTGTGTTGCAGCAATGTGAGCCTCAAGTTGATAGTTTTGTCCAGAGTCAGAAGTTGCGCTGAGTGTTTCTGTGCAGCTTTCACGTGAAGAAGGAGCGCGTGATAGACTTGGCTTGTTTTGCTCATAATTTAATAATTTTTTGTCTTTTCTTCCTTTTCAGCAACAGTTGGCCAAGAATATAAAATTTGGGCAGCCTCCACAAATGACAGTTTCTGCGAGGACAATGGGGGAGGCAAACACTGGTATAGAAGAGGATGTGTTGCTCGGTAGCCCCATGGAGATTGAGACTCAGCAGGACAGTGTGATCTCAGACAGTGGTAATAAAGTAAGCACTTTAAATTGACATATTCATGGCATTATAGAGGTATTAAAACAGTAAAGTTCACTGGGGCATAACAGATGTCTCCAATGAGGCGCAGCAGAGCTCAGTGGGCTGTTTTATGTAGGTGGGATCTCTCGGCTTGTGCTTCTTGGACTGATGAGGAGAGTGTGTGCTCTTGGCATCCTGAGCCAGGTCCCACAGAATTACTGGTTTGGATGCCTGCTCTGAGCTTCCAGCAAAGCAGACATCACTTGCAGTGTATCTAGAGGACAGGAAATGCTTTGGAGATAGAAAATGTCTTGAAATGTGGACTCTCCAGCATGGAAAGTTGTGCACGGCATCAAATGGCAAAAAGGAAAATCATTCCAAAATGACAGACAGGGGTCTGGAACCTAAATCCATAAAATCCTAGGTCTTGGGGTAAATATTCTCGTGGACGGGAACTGAAGGCAAGGAAAGGAGAGAAATGTTTTGAGAATGCTCCATAAATCCAAATGTGCAATCCAAAATCTAAACCCACAATGTACATGCAGCCCTTAAGATCCTGGAAGACATTGAGGCATGAGCCTTCACTTGTGTCCACTAGCTGTGTGAAGGGCAAAGCGTCCTCCACAGCTCATGCCTGTATTCAGCCAAACACACAGAAGGGAGATTTATGGCTGAGGTGGCCCAAATTCTTCATCAGTCTTTGAGCGGCAATGTAGCTGCTCTGTCACTGTGTCCTTTGTGGCTGTGATTGGATATGTCAGGGAGTCAGGCATTTGGGTAGGACCTGCACACTCACACCTCTCCCTGTGCAGACTGGAAGGCTGAAAATGAAGCCACAGTAAGTTATATTTTTTCTGTTTCACAAATACTCCCTTCTGAAGCAGTCAGTTGAGGTGAATCAAGACCATCCTGCATGACTCAGAGCACAAGAGAACAGTGGGACTGTGAACAGGTTTTGGCTGTGTACTCTGGTGCCAGGCTAGCCTCTGTGTTTGAGACCAACATAGGTTCTCTGCAGACAGCCTTCCTGGTCCTGCAGGGGACCCAAATGTCACCTAGTGACCTCCAGCTTGAAGATGAAAATAATTCAAGCACTAAAAAAAGACTGGAGTATCTTTGTGTAATAAGGAGGGAGAGATTCAGTCCTTACCACTTACTCTTTTTTATATTATGTTTTGAGAACAAAACTAATGTCTCTTTGCGTAAGTCATTTTTCCAAATACTGAGGGAGCCATCCCTACTCAGAGGAGATTGCAGACACCAGCAAACCGACAGTACATGCATAGGGTCTGCCAGAGCACTTGACGCTCTCCTTTTCTCTTTCTGTGCACTGTTGCTTTGTGATTTCTGATCTTCCTGACTAACTTGGATCGATAGCAGGAGTTCTGGATTTCATTTAAACTTGTATTTGTAAAGCCAATTCTTTCAGGCTTTATACTAACAATCATGTGCACCTGGTGTAACAGGATCCCAACATTCATTAGGTTATGAAGCAATAGTGTGATACCATGATTAAAAAAACGTTTCTGGGCTTGATGAATGCTGCTTCAACCCCTGCACCCTAAAAATCCCTTCCTGCAAGATGGCTTGGAGAGGTGCAGTAGGTAGGGAGTCCTGGTGACTGATAGGCTCTGCTTGCGCTGGGGGAGCTGGTTTGCTTTGTAAGAAGAGGAGTCTTCAAGAAACTGGAGTTGAAATTCTTTGCAGCAGTGTTAATGTCTGATCAGGTTCCTATATTTTTTCCTTAGGTGTAGATCAGGACAAAATAAAATTAGTAAGAGTTGATTGAAATGCTACAAACCTTGCTCTTTTGGTTTGAAACCTGGTTATCTTTATCTAAGGAAACATGAGAGTTCTGTCTTTTGTAGTGTCTTGTAGCAGCCACTGCATCTGTACAGACAGCAGTGATTCAAGGGGCAATGAGAGAAACTGAACTGTTTATCTAGAAATTCTGCAGTGACGGGAAACAGGTTAAAAATCCTCCTCTGACATGCATGATTTCACAAGTCCTTTGAACCGTACTTACGTGATACTTTACACTTTTAATATCTAGTTGTGGTGATCTTGTTTTCTAGTCCACTGACACTCCAGATTTCTTGAGAACACTGAATTTGCCTGGAACAGGACATGAAGTGGAAGAAAAGGTAACAAAACTCTGACACTAGGTTATTTTCTAATTTTAGTTATTAGAAGCCTGACAGTGTTTTCTTTAATACGTATTTCACTGTTTTGTCATCATCCAAGACTTTGTGAACATTGTGCAGTTCTGGGGCTAGTAAAGAAGCAATAGCTAAGGTTGTGAAATCTGTAAGAGCTGATTGCAGGAAACAGCAGAACTCAGTCTCTGCCAGTCTTGCAGCATTCCTGCATTTGATGTGTTAATCACAGAACCATCATTTTCATAAGTACGTGTACTACTTTGTTATGCCTACATGTAATTCAATAAGCATATGCAAAATGTTCCATCAGCTTTTAAGTAATTGCTTCCCTAATTAGCATGAGTTAAACCCTGGAAGATTACAGAGCTGTCTTGAAAACAATGCATGTGATTTTCTTTCCTTACAGAAGATGTTTTCTCCTTTATTTTTTTTTGTCTGCCTTCTTTTTCCACTTGGATTGTGCCAAATACCAGTCTCAGGATGAGAGCTTGGTGACTTATGGGAGAGACTGATTACAAACTCACTCTTACATGTCTAGACATACAGCTCCACTGTACTTATTCATGAGAGTAATCTCACTAAATCACTTTGTATTTGCTTTTTCTGAACCCAAACATTTGAAGGGCAAGAGGAAAAAAGCACCAACCAAGGCCAGAATTATCTTGGTTTTTTTGCTGTTCTTTGATGCTAGCTTGGACAATTCCACATGGCTGTGGAAGGAAGGTTTTCCACAGGCACTGTGCCAGTCCGAGATCCAATATCGTAGTCATCTCCCATGCACATAGTATGGCTCTGTGGCTGTTGTATGATAATGCTTAGATAAGTCAATCTGACTTGCTCTTGCCTAAAGTGTATGATCTAAATTATTTAAAGATGTAGATACTTTTGTATCTACTTTTGTAGATACTTTTTTTACTTACTACAGTAAGCAAACTTTAAAATATACCAGTGTTTGATGCTGCTTAAAACTCCCTTCCCATTCCCAAGAATTCTGAGTGAAGCTCAACTGTGAAAAAATCTGCCGTTAGAATGGTCTAAGTGATTTTTAAGTACAAAAGTATAAAAATCTGTAGTACTGCAAACAGGAAAAAATTACAGCTGTAACTTTCATGTCCAAATTTCATTATTTGTATAATGGAAAAAGAGGGTTTGAAATCTTTTCTGCTAAAATAACTCCTTTGAATTCAAAACTGCAAAGGCTTTTTGTATGTGTATGTGCTATTCATTTATTTATTTATTTATTTGTATGGAACAAATAGCTTAGTAATAGCTTCTTTTCTTGGTGATACAAACAGGTCCCTCCAGTCAAGTCATCTCGGCCAAAAAGACAATTTTCCTGTTCTGGCACAATTGAAACAATCAATTTGGATGCAGTTCCCCAGGCTGTTGCTCGTCTAGACAACAGTGCAGCTAAACACAAGCTGGCAGTGAAGCCAAAAAAGCAGAGGATGTCAAGAAAGCACAAGAGATTAACAAAGGTATTGAATCATTGGTCACATAGTGAGAGGAGGGGGGTTGCTTTTGAAGCTGAGTACAAGATAACTCTAACTGAGTGCACCAGGAGTAGCTACAACTTAAGATGCGGTTAGCAGTGTTGGAGATCAGTATTGAAATCTTCGTTGGTAAATCTTGTGTTTTCAGGGCAAAAGAAAACGCATGCTTCTTTCATTTTGTCTTCAAATCAAGACAGAGACCTAAAGATGAAGCCTTAGCTGGAGAGAAGACGCAAAGAAGTTTTAATGTAGCCAGTTGAAACAAATAGTACTTGCATGTACCTGAGGTACTTACACCAGGATTTTACATTGGCAGAGCTTTCTGACTCTGGTTTTTCTAGCAAAAAAGCATAGGTCATAAAGTTATGAAGGATATCTGCCTCTGTTTATGCTGCTCTGTATATGCAAACAGTGCAAAATTTGGTTGGAAAAAAGATTCTCTAAAACTGTCATGAGTTCTGACAGTGATAGTATCACTGTATAGGGTCCTGCATCTGGCAAGGAATAGCCCTACACACCAGTTTATAGGGGGTGGCCTGCTGGAAAGCAGCTCTGTGGAGAGGGACTTGCGAGTTCTGGCGGACAATAAGTTAACCATGAACCAGCAATGTGCTCTCGTGGCCAAGAAGGCCAATGGCATCCTGGGGTGCATTAAGAAGAGTGTGGCCAGTGGGTTGAGAGAGGTTCTACTCCCCCTCTACTCTGCCCTGGTGAGACCACATCGGGAATATTGTGTCCAGTTCTGGACTCCCCAGTTCAAGAAAGACATGGAGCTACTGGAGAGAGTCCAGCGCAGAGCCATTAAGATGATGAGGGGACTGGAACATCTCTCTTATGAGGAAAGGCTGAGAGAGACTGGAACATCTCTCTTATGAGGAAAGGCTGAGAGAGCTGAGACTGAGAGGGGATTTAATTAATGCTTATAAATATCTAAAGGGCATGTGTCAAGAGGATGAGGCCAGATTCCTTTCAGTGGTGCACTGCAACAGGACAAGGGGCAACAGGTACAAACTGGAACACAGGAAGTTCAAGCTCAACATGAGTAAAACTTAATTTGAGGGTGACAGAGCACTGGAACAGGCTGCCCAGAGAGGTTCTGGAGTCTCCTCCTCTGGAGACATTCAAAACCCACCTGGATGCTATCCTGTGCAACCGGCTGTAGGTGAACCTGCTTTGGCAGGGGGTTGGACAAGATCATCTCCAGAAGTCCCTTCTAATCCCTACCATTCTGTGATTCTATGATTGTCTTGTAAGAAAGAATAAGACTTAAGTAACACAGCTCCTGCTACAGCTGAAGTGAATTATCAAGTCCTTGTTTTGTACACTTACTACATGGCTATTTTGCTTTTTATCTTGACATCTTACCAGTGCTTGTAAACAAGACAAGACTATTCAACTAATACAGGGTTCAGGAAAGGCCACTGTCCTTTCTTCTGCACCACTGCACTTGCATTTATCACTCTTCGTATGAAGAAATTTATTTTAAACCTCATGTTTATACAGAATGTTTATCTGGAGCCAAATGATGGCTCAAAAAATGATAGCTAGACATGGCATTAGCTGAGCTGTCTTCCTCGGTAAAAGTGCTAGGAAGCGCTCTTCAGGTGCAGCTCACTTTCAGACCATGTCGCTGCAAAGACGAGGAGCAAGCTGTGGAGACTTGCTTTCAGTTTATTGCAGGTATTGCACCCTCATGCTAGGGCTGCGGGTCAAGCACGCAGAACCAGCAGCCAGCCCATGTCTTGGTACCGCACAGTGCCGTGGTGCTGGGGAGCTCTTGGTTCTCTGTCCATGCATGGTCCCACGGGTCCTGCAATAGGACTGGAGCCTCAGCACAGCTAATGAGGAAGATATCCTGGCTCAGGATTTGGGGAAACCCACCAAATCCTGTTCCCCTGAGCACTGCTCTTTCCTGGCTAGCACTGCAGAGCTCTTTTCTGCAGGCAGCAGCTTCTGCTTCTGCAAGTAACAGCTGGATTTGCCATGAAAGAACTGGCAAAACTATGCCCTTAAGCAGGTGGTAATTATTTCGGGCTTAAAGGATGGAGTTCATAGTAATAGAACAGGCATGTGAAACTTGTGCTCTATTCCTTGTGCTTCTGTAAATTTGAAATGGCAGGGCTCAGTCTGGATTAGCTCATGTACACCAAATGGTGATTCAATATTTAGCATTATGCCATTACCACTGTTGGGATATTTTCTTTCTTTTAAAGGCTATCATCCAAATAGGTGAGAGACAGAGGATATATGATGATGTGCTGCAGAAATTGGGAGGTGTTGGCTCTGGATCCAAATAATTGTTCTTAAATTTATTTTTTTTTATTTGCAACTGATTGCTTGTTCTCTGTAAAGAATAACAGCCCAGTAGGCAACATTCTGTAATTCCAAACTTGTCTCCCAATTTTAGGGATCACAAAGTTTAACAATAACAGAATTTGAACCGGAGGACCTAGACACTGAGCTGTTTGGAGACAGATACCCAGGTTATAATGGACACTTCATAGCAGACAAGCTAATCCAGAACAGAGATGAGCAGAAGCAGCCTCAGCTGGCAGAGGAGAAGAGAGTTGAAGATCACTGGGGGATCTTTGAGGCCGAAAGGATAAGGCAGATTGTAGAAATGGAAGAACAAAGAGAAATGGAGGAACAAAGGTGCCAAGAACTGGAGCAGATGCAAAAAGAGCAGGAGAGAAGGCGTTACGAAGAAGAGAGGAGGCAGTATCTCCTTGAAGGAGAGACATCTTTGAAAATTGAAGAGCAGACCTGCCATAAAGAGGAGAGGAGGCTGCTGGAGGCTGACAGGAGGCAAGAGCTGGAGGAACAGAGGTGCCAGGAGCTGGAGAAGCAGAGGCAGAAGGAGCTGGAGAAGCAACAGGGACAAGAGCTGGAGGAGCAGAAGCTCCAGGAACAGGAGCAACAGAGACGAGAGCTGGAGGAGCAGAAACTCCAGCAACAGGAGCAACAACAAAGACAAGAGCTGGAAGAGCAGCAGCGCTGTGAACAAGAGCAGAGATGTCACGAGTTGGAGGAGCAGAAGAGGCAGGAGCTGGAGGAGCAGAAGCATCAGGAATGGGAAGAGCTGAGGTGCAAGGAGCTAGAGGAGAAACAGAGACAAGAGCTGGAGGAGCAGAAGAGGCCAGAGCTGGAAGAATTAAGGCAATGTGAGATTGAAACACAGTGTCAAGAGGAAGAAGAAAGAAATTGGCTGGAGGAACAAAAAGAACTCGAGGAACAAAATAAGGAAGAAAAACAGAGACAAGAGCTAGAAGAGAAAGAACTTCAACAAGCTGAAATAAAACTGAAACAGGATAAAGAGGCTGAGAGCCTAAAACAACAGAAGAAACAGGAGGAACAAAAGCAGCATTTGAAGGAGAAAGGAGAAAAGACAGAGAAGGAACAACCCCAGCAAGTAATGGATAAGAAAAAAAAGAAACAGGAAGAGCAGAGAAGACACAAGCTTATAAAACAAATGCACATGGAAAGTGCAGACATTGTGCAACAGGATGAACTGAACCTGCAAAAGGAACAAAATGAACAAGAATGGAGCAAGCTGGAAGAGCAGAAGGTAGACACAGAAGGACAAAATCTTCAGCAAAATCAGCAAGAAAAGTCCTTGGAACAGCAACGGGACAAGGATCACTTGTGTCCTCGAGGGGCTGATAGGCATCCGGTAGATGAGAAGCTCCAGGAAGGATCAAGATCCCAAAAACTCAAACAGCCAGAAAAAGGGAATAAAACAGCAGAAGAAGTCCTAGCCCAGAAACTCAAGCGAGAAGTTGAGGCTCAGGAGCAAAAGCGAATAGGGGAAGAGCTTAGGTGGCAAGAGGTAGATGAAAGGCAGACTGCATCCAGGCCCTTCACATTTCAAGTGTCTTCTGGAGATAAACAGATCATATTTCAGAAGGTAAACCTGAGTCCAGTCATGCCCGTCAAAGGAGCAGGGCTTTCTTCTCCATCCAACAAAGACTGCAGGATGCACGCCTCCAGCAAGGGCTCTCATACACTGCCATCGTCTGTGTGCGTACCCCACACAGCTATTTTGGTGACTGGAGCACAACTGTGTGGCACAGCAGTCAACCTGAACCAGATAAAGGACACAGCCTGTAAATCTTTACTTGGCTTAACAGAAGAGAGAAAAAATGTGGATATTCCTTCACCAGAGAAGGCACAGAAAAAACCCCAGGATCCCAAACCCAGCAGCAGCAAATTGAAATATGCACAGGAGGCATTGAACAACCAGGCCGTACTGGCAGAGTGGGCCTCCATTCGCTCCAGGATCCTCAAGAACACAGAAAACAGCAAATACAACGAGAGAGACCGAGTAAGTGTCTGCAGACACAGTGATGACTGGACGCCCCGAGGACGGGGTGCTCCCCATGGAAACTTGAGGAAAACCCTCTCTGCAAATGCAAAGTTCTCAATAACTCCAGCATGGCAGAAGTTTTCAGAAGCTTCAAAAGCCAATTTGGATGCTGAGAATGTAAGTGCAGCAAAGAGCAGTGAAACAGTGGCTGCGGGAAGAATCACCAGCTCATCTGCTGATTCGAAGGAGGATGTGGCTTCCACTCTCAAGGATAACTTAGCCGAAAAGGGTAAGGAGAAAACGGAAAGCCATAGTGAAAAGACAGATAACACAGAAGGCTGTAAATTTGCAAAAGATCTCCCATCTTTCCTTGTTCCAAGTTTTCCTCATTCTCCAGGTAAGGAATTACCCCAGGCAGAGCTTCCTGGCACTCCGGAAAACCAGCAGAATAGCAGCACAAAAAAAGCAGATAAATCAGCACCAAATGGAGAAGAAAACATTTCTCCTTTTGGGATAAAGTTACGAAGGACAAACTACTCTTTACGTTTCCATTACGATCAACAGGCAGAGCAAAGGAAAAAGAAAAGATACAGTGCAGGAGATAGTTTTGATGGTGTGCCTGACTCACTCGTGACAACAGAGGGTGAGAAAGATTCCTCTGTTTTTGCTCCACAAGAGAGCACATCCCCTGGCACAGGAAGACCAAATGTCCCTGGTGTTTTAAAAGACTCAAAAGACTCTTCAGTTGCTGTAGTGGAGAAGGCACCACCAGCGGGCACACCAGTGGTCCTACCAGCCATCGGCCAGAGTGCTTTGACCCCTCATGACAAACCAGCATCCAAGTCACTGGTCCCACAGAAACCTGCTTTAGCTCCAAAGCCAACCAGCCAGACGCCACCATTGTCTCCCCTTTCTAAAATGAACAGATCAAACCTGGCTGAAACGCTAGGGCAGAGGTTGGTCAAAGCTGAATCGGACGGGAGCTGGAGAAAAGACGAGAGAGCAAACGCAGTGCACCCCACACCGTCTAATGAGTACAAAAACAACGAGGAGGAAATCAGAGAAAAGAAGTCATTTTTCCCATCTATAAGTATTCCGTGGAGAGAAAAAAGTGACAAAAAGCCTGAGCCATTGAAGAAAGGTATGTATTCTTCAAAGGTCAGTTAGCTGTTGTCTGCATTTCCAAAATGAGGTACTGGAAGTCCAGAGAAAGACATTTGGTCTTAAGCTATAATTTTTACCAGGAATGTTATTTGAGTACTGCTACTATGCTTTGGGTTCTCTGAATGAGTGGGACTTCCCATCCTCACAATTTAATTCAGAAACGCACAAACTTAGCGTAAGCAGTGGAACCTGCTTAGGAAAGTTAATTTCAAGGAGGCAACAGAAGAGTGCGTGTGGTTTCCTTGACAGAGATGTTACCTGGTTAGTCAGAGGATGGACTCTGTGTAATGGTGTCATCAGAGCAAAGAGAATAATTTTTACAATTTATATTATATTGTTTCTATTTTTTAGGGGAATATTATCTAGCTTAAAAAATACTAAGATCTGGGTCCCCTTATAGTGCCTATCATGGGCAAATTCTCTATGTAACCCAAGATAGCTGGGCAGAGGACTCTGCATTTCAGAGGCACTTTTCAGTAATCAAAACAATTACAGTAGCCATGATGGCTCTTCAGAGGGGACTTGAAAGCCCCCGTGTACTGAAAAAGTATTCTGTACAAGAGGAAAAATAACCCTGTCAGTGTAAGGACACTCAAGAATAACGCAGGAATTCAACATTTAATTGGGAGATCACCATTTTTTTCCATTCTTGACTTCTGCAAGCATCAAGACACTTCTAAAAGCATATCTCAGTGGAACTACTGCTTTTTTTTTACGATTTTTTAATACTTTTTCCTTCCACTTTCATTTTTAAATGAGGATTTATGGAAATGAGTTGGAGGCACAGCTGCTGGCCTGGGAGAGCAGGGCCCAGAGCAGCTGAGGGTTTCTGTGCTCACTGAGCTCTGCACCATTGCACCCCAGTGCTACTTCCTGCCGCTCATAGCTCTATACTGGGTGCTAGCCCTAATTTCAGACAGGGTGCAGAAAGTCAAATGCTTAAGTGACAAAAGAAAACCCCAACCACAACATTTTTCTAAGAGGGATATATTTACAGGAGTACCAAATTTCAGCCCCCTTCTGTGGGCCAAAGTTTGGACACTCGTCTTCCCTTAATTACAGCTGGAAAACCAGGAAACTGCAGTACATAGTGGCTGGAGCCCTTTCATCAGAGTTATAAACAGTGCCTCGGTGTCACTTATATATCCCACTGTGTGAGATATATATTTATTTGTAATAAGGAAGGCTGTAAGTGTCTGGGGTAGGCTTTTTCACACACACAAAAAAAGGATAAATTTGGACAGCTGTATGAGCATGTTGAATTAGGTCTCACTCTTCAGGCATAAAAACTGTTTCAGGATGTGACGTACAGTCCCTGAAGGTCTGTGAATGTCATGGCATTCGACAGCTTCAGCTCCAGAGTCTTCCCAAGGTGGAGAAGTTGTACTAAGACAGGTGAAGTGATTTTTTAATACTTTTTAATACAGTTTTTTTCATGTTTTCTTTCAGAAAAGCCAGTCCTCCAGAGCAGGCACTCTTTAGATGGCTCTAAACTGATGGAAAAAGTTGAAACTTCACAACCACTTTGGATTACATTAGCACTGCAAAAGCAAAAGGGATTTCGTGAGCAGCAAGCAACAAGGGAAGAGAGGAGACAAGCCAGAGAGGCAAAGCAAGCGGAGAAGATGGCTAAAGAAAATGTAAACGATCTTTAGAAACCTGCCCGTTAAAATACTGATAGCATAATTATAACTCTGAGCTAGTTGTATTATGTGAGAGGGAATTTTGGTTTTTTATGTTTGGTTTGTAAGGTTTCATAAAAGCTAAAATGACAGTGAGTAAAAACATAGTCTGAAAGCCTGGAGATCCCTTTTGCAAAACTGAGACCTCCAGGAGCAAATAACTGTGCAAGAGTGTGATGGTTTCAGTGTAACCTCCGATGCCTTAATATCAGGTGGTGGTTAATGGCAGTCACAAGCACGACCCCTGTGCAGGTGACGGGACAGGAAAATTGTATGCAATGTGGTTGTCTCAGTGCTTGAGTAAATAACATGTTAAGCCTTAATGCTTGGGGAATAACAGCTGAAATATTCAGTTATAGGTGAATATTTATTAGTAAGTTTTAATTTATTTTTATCATAATGTATTCTTTGGATAAAATGTAGACGAATGCAAGAAATGATCTGTCTTGTGTAACACTGAAATGCCTGAAGCAGACACTGAATTCAAGTGTCACTTTTTTCCTGTTCTCCAAATAGGTATTTCCTACCCATGGGTTCCTGTTAGTAAGAAAAACACTTCTACTTGCAGTACAGAAGTGATGCTACACAAGCAGTGGTGCTGTATATAGATAGTGCAGATGGTAAAAAGGGAAATTTTGTGGATAACGAAGTATATTTTGATGTTTTTTATGAGACCCAAATTTCTGATGGACACATGCACAATTACAGACATAAATAATCGGTGAAAGAAAGAGCAGTGGATGTGAAGTTGCCCACAGATGCACACTGTGTTTCAGTGCTGTATTGACCAGGTAGGGTTGGCTCAAACTGACTGAAATGGCAACATGATGAATTTAACTTTGTAGGGATTTTTTTTTTACAGTCTTTAAAAACTGTTAGTTTTAGAAGTATCAGTGTGTTTAGAGTCTTTGCTGAAAAGGAAAAGGTTAAGGATTAAGCAAAAGACAGGTGATGGATGAAAGCATCAAGTGTGACATCTCTTACTTGTAGCCACTGCATGGCAGACTTGTTTCTCATTTAGCAGATTTCCTCCTCTGTTCCAGGCTGCTGTCAGTAATCAGTCAGACAATAAAACCAACAGCAGCAAGACAAGCACACTGCAGAAATCGACACCTCAGGAAGGGGAGAAGAAAATTGAGACAGCTGTGTCAAGACTAGAAAGAAGAGAGCAGCTAAAGAAGTCAAACACCCTTCCAACTTCTGTGACAGGTACAGTGAGAAATTCAGATTTACTCTAGGAGTACTGCACTTCAGAAATGGTACTGCGTGTTTTTGAGAAAGGGAATGAATGATACGGTTTTTTCTCATGTTACTCCTAGAATTACAAATGCATTTGCTTTCAGAACAGAACAGCACAACTTGTCCCAGACTCATGTGCTGGCCATTATGCTGGAAATACATAATTTTAACAGGTTTTCACCAGATTCCCCATGAGTATTCTCATTTCCTTCAAAACTGCAAAGTCTAATCAATTCAGTTGAAGGTAGCCTGTCACTTTGAATTTAGGACTTCTCCCTCCCAGTCAATTGTTTGGTATGGAAGGTTGGAACCAGAACCAACCACTTTATCTATCACTTCGGTTAAGCTGAAACGATTACGTATTCAAAAGGCAAGCACATTAAAATAAATACTTCCCCAAAGGGCACAATATCTGGGGTGGCGTAAGGTGATTGTTTTAAAAGGAGATTTGCCTAACGTTTCTGTAGCCAACATTAGTCCTAGGCAAAAGGTTTTGGAGAAGAGTACAGATAGGCATTGAATAAACCTTTTTACAAGTTGCACAGTCACTAGTGTGGGCTTCTTTGAAAGTACATATGCGTATCAGCTGAATCTATTCAGCTCTACTCCAATGCAACTATTGAGAGCAATGAGGTAATTAATTTATCTGATCTGTAATAGTAAAGGCTACAGCAGTGCTACTCCTACATTCCAGCCTGTTGCAAGCTGAACAAGCCCTACACATGCCTATGTTCAGTTGGTTCAGCAACTGCACGCCAGTGCAGATATCTCTGAGAGTTTGTTTTACTTGCAGCATCTTGCACTGGACCAGATGATCTTTAAAGGTCCCTTCCAACCCATACCAGATCCTACATAGATTGCCCCAAACTTCCCTGCTTCCTGTCAGCCTGCTTCCAGTGCCCAAACTCCAGCTGGTGGGCAGCTGGAGCAGCTTTACAACTTTCCTGTCAGCCTGTAACAGGGTTCTGTCACTGCCCTACTTCAAGGGTTTAGTAGTGCAATGTCACAGTCAATTCTAGCACAGATCAAACTCTAGCGCAATAGATGATGCCAAATTAGATCAAAGAAGGGCCAAAACCCAATTATCCTCGGTCAGTTGGTCTGTGCTAGAATGAGTGTTTCAGGAGGAATTACCAATTTTGAATTACCTGAAGTGAAAGCATAGAACTGTGTTGGCCTGGATTTCCATGTGATTACAGCTACGTTTGGAGCCATCATCAACTGCACAAATATGCTATGCACAAGTATTTGTTTATAATGGATGATGACACTGATTTGGGTTTCCCACTTAAGGCAGAAGACCAGGCTAAAGCATGTTTCAAATAAGTTTGCTGAGTCCTCCTCTAGGAACATTTTAAAAAAGTCCACCCAAAACTTGAGGAGGTTGGTATATTTCAGACTTGCACTTGAGTTTTGTACAGCAGGAACTGATAAGAGGGTGTAACCTTTAAAATAGCCTAAATTACTGTAACCTTTAAAATAATTGGCTTTTCAAGCTGTCTATAGCAATAGCTGCTTCTACTGTTCATTTAGTCTAGCCAAAAATACATTATTAAAGTTGCACTAAAAAGAAAAATAAACAATTTTTGCCATTCATGCAATTTTAAAGCTCTTTAAAGCATTCAAAACCTGAAAATGAAATGCAACTGCAAATAATTCGGACTGAATCTGAACATTTAACAAAAAAAAGCTTTTTGGCTCATAGAAAATAAAATGTGTAAGGAGGAGATTACTGAGGAGTTGTTTTGTAACGAAGATTTTTAGAGTTACTCCATACGTTTCAGGCAGGACTTATTTCTATCCAGGCTGTCTTTAGGGGCATCCACTGTCCCAGAATTAAACAATCTCTCCACTTGACTTCTACAATATAGTTCTACAGTTCTGCTCTGTAAATCAGTTGCTTATTCCGCACCTTTTCTTGCTGAGACAGCTGTTTGTCTCAAATATTTTATTTTAAAGAAAATCTGATAAACAGCTATTGGAGAAAGCTGGTTCATGTCTTCTTCAGGACAGTCTCATGGGAGTGAGAGGCATAAACTGAGGCATGAAACTATAGGACCATTTTCTTCTCTGTGCTTATTTAAAGCCTTTCCCTAAAAAGGGAATCTAAACCCTACTGAACACACCCTACTGAAGGTTACATGTGTTCAGCAGCTGCATTACCAGAGAGGAAAAAAAATCCAGCTTTATTTCCCATTGTTTGCTATATTGCAGAGGAATCAAAATAGTTTATGTAAAGAAGCTGAGCAAATTGGACATGTTTTCTCTGGATCTCACAGAGACTCAATATTTCGTTCCTATTTTTGTGAGTTGCATTACTTGGAGTCACCTCTGGAAAAGGAAACTCAGCTTTTCCTAACTTGATTATTTTGCAAATACAATGAAAAGTGAGATTTAACTAGAAGGGTTGGAAATAAATATGAAGTGTTATATCAGAACTTCTTCACAGAAAAGAAGCGAAATCTCTAGATCTCCTGCAACAAGTACAGGGTTCAACTAATGTTATTTTTCTCTTTCCC